CCATCCCTGCCCTAGGGCACGCCGTGCAGTGGCCCGGGTGCTGCATAGATGTGACAAGGCCTGTAGTCCAGCACATCCGCACATCTGGAGGGGACAAGGTCAGGGAGGCTTCTTCTGGAGTGGCCTCACAGGCAGGGAGGTGACATCAGGCATCAGTGCAAAACCAGGAGTATTTTTGTGTGGAGAGGCAACACAGCCATTGGGGTTATTCACCATTTTAGAAAAGCAAAGTTCCTTGTAAAGCAGGGGCAGGGAACTGGGCCCTCCAGGTGTTTGGGCCTACAACACCCACTCCTCACTGGCTCTGTTGGTCAGGGCTGATGAGCAATGTGGACTAGAATATCTGGAGGGCCACAAATTGCCCACATCTGAGACAAGCCCAGAGGCACAGGTGGCCTGCAGGAAGGAAAAGGGGCAGATGCCACTAAAGAAGCGGGAAGAAGCTAAAGCTGTAGCTGGGTCAGAGTTCCAACACTTTCTCTTCCCTTTCTCTATCCATGCTCTGCACACTTTGTCTAGGAAAAGTGAATTGATCTGCCCTTTCAAAGGCCTTTTCTCAGACCATAAAATGGGCACACAGGTAGGAATTCCAGCACTCCAAGCAGTGGTGCAATTAGCACTACTACAGTTAATTACAGGAACCGGGGCTTCCAAGTAAATGTTACATATTAAATGGCTGTAATTCCTGCCCTGGCAATGCTAGTTAGCTCCCATGGAACATGTGAATACATACCTGCATCTCCTTTTCTTACACTGCTCTGTCCCCCCTTTTCATTACCACTTTCCCTCTAAGCTTCAGTTCTTTCCCACTTGCTTTTACTGCACAGCTCAAGGGTAATTCCTTTCTTCTGCATAGCAGGTCAGGCAGCCCGTCTTTTTTGTAGCTGATTTCCAGTAGGAGTGCAGAGGTAGAAATCTAGCATGGGCAATCAGTAAAGCTCCCCACAGAATGGAGAAAAAAGGACCCAGCAAGCTCTGCCGGTCAAACACTGGCCCATTAGCGAGGCCCGAAGGTTGCAGAACGATCCTACGGGCAATTCCAGCACCTGCATGAAGCCCAGCACCGCTAGAGGGCGCATTCACACTGAAGTTCGGCAGCGTTGCATTGGGTGGCTATATTCTGGCGTTGGCAACGCCTCACCCGGAACAGCCACGACTCTGCTGCACGTTTCCATGCGAGATGTGCTGACCAGGTGGAGAAGCACCAGCCGAGCTTGAAGTCTGCACACTCCCATCCCCAACCACCAGAGGGAGGTTGCCACTGTGAAACTCTTCCCAGTGGCATAAGGAGTAAGTAGCATGGCTCTTTCCAAGATCATCCCAGAGCACCCACATCCTTTTGCCCTGAGCTTCACGGGGGAGGGGGGGTTTAGTTGGATCGAGGAGAGGAGAGGAGAGGAGAGGAGAGGAGAGGAGAGGAGAGGAGAGGAGAGGAGGCAGTGGCGACATTCACCAGCTACGCAGTGCCTCCCTATTTCCATGCTCAGGTCAGGTAAAACTTTCCGTTTGTGACCAGACTTCTACGTTACTTACATACTAAACTCAATCTGAAACCTTGACGAGATGGGACTGGCCTCACAGATAAAAGCACCTCCTTAATTTTAAAAAGGGGCAAGGGTTCTCTCCGCACATCACAAGAACAAAAAGTGCTTTCTTCCCCCTACACACCCTGCCTAGATAGGACTCTTGGGCCTATGGGAAGTGTGGGCTATTCCATTTCCTACAAGCTTCTCAAGCCCTAGGAGGAAAATTGAACTTTGAAAAGACTTGGGCACTCTCATGTCTATGCATCCCCCTACACACACCTTCAAAGGGCCAGCATCAAGGTTCAGCATGGTTGGGCACCTGCCAAGGGCCCGCTGATGGGAAGGCCCAGGCTGGCTTCTTTTCACCATGGTCACCTTGTTCACTGCCTGCTTCCTCACTCTGGCCCACCCAAGTAGCAGCAGCAGCCACGGGTGGCTTCCTCGCTGGCTGGCTGGCAAAGCGGGGCTAGCAGTGATGCAGACAAGCAGTTGGCAACAAGGCCAGGAGGAGGTAAGTTAAACACAGAAGAGGAACCCACTGAGGGGAGGCCTTGCCTAAAATGCCCTCCAAAGCCTGTAGCCAGCGCTGCCTATTCTGGTGCGTACTTCAGGAGAGCAGTTGCTTCTTTCTCCCAGCTGTTAGTATGAGAGGCCTGCTCAATCATGTTAAAATATCCATGGTGTTGATCATGCAAATTCCACAAGGAGCAGATGGCACAGCTGCTGGTTTGCCCAAACTGCTCCTTCTGGAGCAGCAGGAGATGGGCTCCAACGCCATGCTTAATCAGCAGCTGTTTGAAGACTGACAATCTGTATCAGTCCGTGTTTGCAAAATTATGGCTGCACTCCTATGCCGGCAGACTTCACAGGAGATACATAGCTCATTCATATATGAAATCGTAACTTCTCTACATGCATACATGTTTGTGTACAGCACACATCCTTAAACGAGCACATGTAAGATTAATCTTATCAGCAATTTGGTATTTGGTAGCTTTGCAAGCATCTCTAATGAGGATAATACTTCTTCGGGTGGATTATGAAGCATCACTTTAAGGCTGCTGGTGATGTTTAACCATCTTAGGTTAAGATGGTATTACTTAAAGGGCACGAGCACCTTGTGTGAAGGAGGAAAGCATACAAATGCTTATTTAATTGGGACTTCCTCAAGCACACGAGAGAAACTGTCACGGTTTGCTTTTCTCGGCACTCACAAGGTACTTCTTTGCCCATGGGAGGCTAAAGCCCTGCAGACTCTTGGGACCTAGATGTAGAGGGACAGAACCCAACCCAGAATTTTAGCTGCAGAGGGAGATGCATCCATGAGCAGATGAACAAATTGAGTGGAGCTTCCTCCTGTGTGGTCCTACTCCAAGTTCTCGTGGCTTAATACAGAGATTTGCTCCTTGAAAAAATAAAAAAGTGATTAAACAATAGACAAGAACAATTAAGAATAAAGAAAAGTGCAACTGACTGTGAAGATTATACAGATGTTCTTGATTCATCTGTGCAACTGCATTCTTCAAAAAATTAAGATTGCCTGAATTTTGCTAGAACATCTCTTTCAAACCTCCAGGCAGAGTCGAGGTGGTGCTCAGTCATGAAGCAGGCACAGCATAACCCCTGCCACTAAGGCTGGGCCTGTTTGCAGCCAACCGTTTTATGTTCGTTGCTGCAAGTACAGTACTTCTGCAGTTCGTTTTAACAAGTGCAGTACTTCTCTAATCACGCTTTGTGGGTGGGTGGCTGGCAATCTGGATTAAAGCCCAGCTTGCTTGCCAGAGGGTTGGGCAACCCTTTGCCATTCATCTCTAGTCACACAGGACTAGCCGGATCATCAGAGCCGGCAGAGCTTGCCACTCTGCCAAACAATATTAAAATGCATGCAACAGGAAGTAACTGGTAAGGCTCTTCCTGACTCATTTCCTATCAGTGCTGACGGCATTCTCAGGAAACACCCTTACGCTGCTGCAAGGCCACCCCGATTGAAGACACACATTGCCTGAAAGTCAGGTAAGTTCCAGGCTCAACCACTGCATGCCAGTTTGGGTGTTAGCTGCTATCAAAGCACGATCTTATGGGGCAATGGGCAAGAGGAGGCTGCAAGCTATTTTCCATATATGTAGGAACATACAAAGCATGATTGCCAAGATTCCAAAAATAAGGCAAAACGCAAATCAGGGGAGATCATGTGCATATCTGAACACCTACAGTACATGGGAGAAACTGTACGGCAGGTGTACAACCCACAGGCCACACATGGCCCTCCCAAGACTGGAACTACAGCACCCATGAGGCTAGGCTTCTTTTGACTCCCTTCACCAGCATTGAGGAAAGTGCCATCCGTGTAAGGTGGGGGGGGGTGTTCACACACACAGCCCCTGACCCAATATCACATGCAGTTCTCAGGGTCAAAAAGGTTGCACACTCGTTTTATGCCATTTGAACTTGAATTATAAAATGTTACTTCAAATGCCATTTCATGGAATAGTGCACAGTAGTATACTGGCCGTTAGGAGGGCCTGCAACTTGTTTTTGGCAATGAGCCCTTCTGAAGGTTGTGTGTATGTCTAGGCCATCACTGAGTTACACTTCTACACCCTTTAAAGGACAAGCATAGCTTCCTCTGCTCTGCTGCCCCAGAAGAACTTCTTTGGAACTGCCAAGTTTCTGCTGGTCCTGCACTGAGGCCAAACTTCACTGAAGCACAACATGGGTTGCAGAATAATCCCCATCCCTTAGAGTTATGAAGTGCCTAAAACTTGGCCCTGATTTCAAGATGAGGCAACCCAAGTGAGGCACCCAAAATATACATCTTCTGAGCATTTCTGCTTTCTCACTACTGTATTAGAAAGCACAGCATCTATCCTTCCCTTTCAATCAATGCACATGACCACAGCAGAAGCTTTGAAATTCTTCCAGCTGGAGGACCAAAAGCCATTCTGAAGATACTCTCAGGGGTCATATTCCATTTCAGGCAGGACCAAAGGCAAAAGGGAGAGGGTCAAAACATTTTTCTGACTGTAGCTAAGCTGGGCAGGAGGGGAGCATGTCCATGGTTTTAGAATGGGGAAAACTTTGGTAAAAGGTTACCAAATGGTCAGCAGCTGGGGGGGAAGGGACATGAACTTCTGGGAAAAGCTGGGAGTGAACCAAGATCTCAAATACACCAGATTTGGCCTCCATACCTAAGGTTCTGTGCCCCTATAGTACAGCTTTCCACAAGTGTATAAATCATTTATTGACGGGTGTTTCTGTTGTTCTGGAGAAATTAACGCATAACGTCAGACAAGAGCATCAGAACAGCATTCTCAAGTTTGCAGATCAAGGTAAACAACAACCACCACTCCAATGTACCTAGAAATAAGTTGATAGGACCTGCTCCCAAGTAAGTGAAGTTAGGGTTGACTGAAGGTAAGCAAATGCACCTCAAGCCAGATAGCTTGTTTTCTTGACCAAGAAAAAAAGTTAGAGTTTCCTTTTTTAACAGGGTTAGTGCAACTTTTATTTATGAGGTCCGCTTCAAGAATTTAATCAAAAAGCCAAACAAAAACAAACATACATAAAAAGGAAACCAGTCATCTAACATTTGGATAGATTCTATATGTGATCCCCAAAAAACGAATTGCCGAGAATGAATTCTAAGGTAGCGTGATATAAATTGACACCAAGAATACTTTAATACGAAAGAACTGCATTCATTTTACATGGGGGATAGGACCACTGAATATTTCTTTTTCAAACTTGAGAGCTTGAAAATCATGTGCTGTAACAGACCCAATGTTGCCTTTCTCGAAATCGAGATGTTTGCTCTAGAAGCAAAATCATACATGTGCTCAATAGGCACTTGAGAAAGCAGCTGGAGACATGCTCAAGAAAAGGGGTGTTAGCACAGATCTCTTTCCCACACTCTCACTGCTCTTTCTGTCCCTCCTTACTTCAAGATGGTTTGGGCCATGCTCTTATCAAGCCAAGCCATGAAGCACTTCCTGGGTTGCTGACAAAAGGCAGAAAAAGCTCCACCCACTGGAAGGTGGGAGGAACCCTCTATGCAAACAGAAAAAGGTATATTCCAGGGAAATGGCTTCCCTCGAGATTTCTGCCCAGCTTGCTTTCTGTGTGCATAGAGAATCCCTCCCTCCCCTGCCACCCACAAGACAAGCTTGAAAGCCACACCGGCCCTTGAAAAACCAGCAGGGCTCACCTGATGGCCAGCTTATACACTCCACAGAGGTCAAGTGATGAAGCTCCCTGGCTTGTGCTACTTCAGCTGGGCTCCTGCCACTGGGAACTCCAAAGAACGGGATATTCAGCCTGCCACTTTCATGAAAAGCCAGGATATGCATCAAGAGCCACAGCCAGCGATGCAGTTCTGCCAATGCTGGCAATGCTGCACTAGCAAAAACCAAAACCTAGTGCTTGCAGAGGCCACTAGAGGGAGCGACTTCCCTTAGTTGGTGGGCGGGGGAAGCAGAGCCGCCTTCACACTTGAAGAGCGTTGGACAGAGCAAGAGAATCCGACGTGTGACAAAACACTCCCATATTCTGGACTGGGCTCTCTGGTCTTGGATTTGTACCACTGGTTAGGCAGGACTCAAGGAAAACAGCTGTCACTGACAGCACCCCCTCCACCACCACCACCACCACCACCAGGACGTTTCATCAGCCAGCTCAAGCTTCTGCTCAACTAGCACTACTTCCTGTCGGTGGGGCAGCACTCGCAGCAGTGCCGCTACCAAGCTGGATTCTGCATCCAGCTCGGCAGCGTTGTCTGCGCACGGTCCACATGCCAGGGGCTGCATTTTCAGATTCTATTCCACATGACTAAAACCAAGAAGGATGCCCGGCATACTGTGGACACTTTGGTCAAAGAAAATGGATCGTGGGGAAGCAGCATACCAGTTTCAACAGGAGATACTTGACACTCTCATCAAATGCAGCCATCGCTACCTTAAAAAGCCCCCCAAGCCCAAACTACAAAAGGCTGCTCTTCTGTACACCGGCGCAGACCAGTCTGTCTGCGCTCACTGCTGGGCGATTTTAATGGAGAGCTGATGTGTTAGGTGGAGCTTTCACACCAAGTAGCATTCACAAGCTCCGCTAACCATGATGGGAGTTAGTCCCTGGAGCAGAAAGGAGGCATCTTAAGGCTGCATCATTCAAACTCAACTAAACCGTTTTTGTTTTTGTTTTTTTTTAAAAGCATCCAACCAAAGTCTAGTTTTGTTTTGGAAATCAACATCTGATATTCAACAAGGAACCCCCATTTCCAACAGTGACCCCCCACCCCACACCCAGTCCACATGTGTAAGCCTTATCTCCTTGGAGCAATGCGGTGTCCACAGCTTCCCGTAATTTTCAGCTGGGGCAAGGGGGGAGACAGGGCCCTTCTCTCCACGCAACAGAAGGTCAAGGGCAAGAAGGAAGGGCAAACCTTTTTCACAGTTAGCCATAAATAAAAGTGCAGTAAGTGTTCAAGTAGCGCAGAGAGTTTGGGTGGGCAGTGCGGCATTTGGCTTGGTCATCTTTTTGAGGCTCTGCGGGGGTCCCTCCCATTGCTTATTGTGCTTTGCGGGGGGCGGCCATTATTGGGCGGCCCCGAGGGAGGGGCAGGTCCCCGTCCACTGACCCTGCCAGCCCCTGCATAGGAGGGGGGGGCATGATTATACGTCGTCGACACGCCGCTCAGCTCAGGTCCTGCAGGCAAACCGTTTCCTGGAAAAACAGTAACAAAACAGAAAAAGAAACAGGGCTGCGTCAGACATTCTCGGCGCACAGTTTTCCTGTACGGAAGGCCACGTAGCCATTCAAGCCGCCTGCTTCCCGCTAAAGAATACTTTGCATCGGGTTGAGGAGAGACCTCTGGGGGGACCAGGAAATCTCAAGGGCCTGCTTGCTTCTTTGAGCACAAGGGACGGTAACCAACGCACAGAGAAAACAAGCAATTACACACTCCGGTGCCTGAGTCGTGGCTCCTCTGGGCTCTGCATAGGCCCAGATAACGGAAGGCATTGAGATGCTGCCGGCCGGCTTATAAATCACGGCAGGTATGGAAAGCAAACAGAGAAGAGCGGAGGCCCCGCTGCTGCTTCTACCCTCACCACAGTCCTGAGCGGCAAAAGCAGCAGCGACGCGTCTTATTCCGGACTCAGCCACCTCTTTGGACTCCGCTCCCAGTGCAGGGAGAGCTTCTCTCCGAAGCAAAGAGAGAATGCCTCCAGGAATCCCAGCCCTCCCACAGGCCATGTGTGCCCCCAGTATGCCGCCACCTAACAGGATGGCTGGCCAGGCCCGCTCACAAGCAGCCGCACCGAAGAAAGGGAGAACCCTCCTGGACAGAAGGTGAGGGAAGGTGCAAGCAGAAGAGCCAATGCATGCAGGAAGAGGAGTGAGCCGAGAGGACAGGGACGCTGTGCGCGCGAAATGGATGGCCCCGTGGACGCCCCCGGCGGGGCACAGGCTTGGCAGCAAGCAGCCGCGGTGCAGCCGCCGCTCATGTCTTCTATTAGCCGACTGCAGGATGCCACAACCAAAAAAAGGAGGGAAGAGGAACACTGCAGGGTTGCAGCTCGCTCTGGCAGGTTTCCGCAGCTGCTTGACAGCCAAGTGTGAACAGGTGTGGTGCCCATTACACGAGCCAGGGTGCCCCAGCTTTCTGGGTCAGTGGGCACATCTGGAATGTGCAGCAGTGTTGCCTGTGCTCTCACAAAACAGCTGCCACAGCCCCTCCTGAACCACTCCTTTGCTAGAGGCTTGGGAGACGAAAGGAACAGTAACTTGCCCAAGAGCCCAAGTACAAGGCAAAGGGGTCTGAGCGCCACAGGAGAAAGCCACTCTTCCAAACCCAGAGATAGGGGGCAGCTCTTCACATTGCACTACGCCAGCCTTCAAGTTGGTTTCTTTGTTAAAGTTTGCAATTTTAAAAGGCCAAGAGATAAAATAACAAGCACAAGGGGGAGGGAATGTGAAGGATCCCCAGAAAGATGTCTGTAGGCAGCCCCTCGGCACAAGATGGGAGGCTCCCTACGAAGATGCTAGTGCACCATTTCCTTGCCTCACACAAGTGGCTTGTTCATGGATCCTGCGGCTAGGCAGTGTCTTGAGGCACCGTGGGATTTTTTTTAGATTCCCAGGTCAGAGTTCAGACATCAGAGCTGAAGGTCTGATCCCATCGCACCCCCTTGCAGCTGCCACCCCAGTTGCACTCCAAGACTGGAAAAACCGCCATGGAGAAGGGAAAAGGGGGAAGGAAGTGTGGAGAGACTGGGAAAGGCAGAGACAAGAATACGAAAAGCATATTAATTTAAAGCAACGTAGTTTGTCTTTGCACCCAATCTGCTTTAAACTACGCTGAATTGAAAGAAAACAGGATCAAGTCATGGTTTCTGATTTTAGCTGGTTCCAGCAAACTGTTGTTTAAACTAACTGCCAGCATTGCTGAATCTCATTTCCAAAAAAAGAGATTCCACTCACACACATGCACGCACTTACCAGTTGGCCCAAAAGTACAAGTACCCAAATTAGTTGATGGAAGGGAATTATTACTCTGCTCACCCTGTGCCTTTAAAAGAAATGTGAGAGAGAGATACATTAAGACAAGCCCTCCACTCTGTGCAACAGGAAAGGATGGGAGGGATGAGCCTGGAGGAAGCAAGCTCAACAACAGACACCAGTTGCCCTCAGCAGGGTGACTCTTGCCCCCTTCCTTTAACTGCTAGCCTTCTCCCCAGAAGGACACAGAATTTGCTGCCAGTACAGAGCAGCACCTGCAGCAAAGGTGAGCAACTCATGACCATCTCAGAGGTTAGCTTATTGCTCCCATCAGCACTGGGCAGGAGAGCCAACAGAGTAGCAAGATGGAAGCTGCTGGCCAAAACATCAGGAGGCTTACAAGTGACCAACCCCTGGCCTGTGGCTAAGCCTAGCTGGGAGCTCCCAGATCACAGGCACCTTCGCGAAGCAGCGCCCAACTCACGTACCGCTTTTGGGGGCTGCCCATGATGATCCGAGTTGGGCTCACTGAAGTTGGGCACTTCGGAGTACACCATGCAGAACCTGCAAAGAACAACAACCTCGTGACAGTGAAGTGTCCCTCAGTGTCCCCAACTAGCATGCCCACCAGGAGGTCTGACCTAGCTCAAGATAAGCACAGCCTTGCTTTCTTAGAAGCCACCTCCCACTGATTTCCATGAGGCAGGGGCAAGCAACTATTCCCACTGAGATGTTTGCATTGCTAACAAGAACGTGCTTGGACAGTCCACAATTTTCTACCCAGTAACACCTCGTGAGGCTTAAAAACCTGCTCTTTCATTTTTATTCGAATGAAAGCAGATGTACACAGACAAAGCAGAAATGAATACATTATGAATAAGCAAAGGCCCTATTTTAGGTTGGGCCACAGTTACAGTCACAATGGCCGTCTTGACAGGTCAGATGTACTTCTAGTGCTGTGAACACTTCACAGCATTCCTCCCTAATTAGGCCTGGCTCAACCCTTGATTACTGAGCGCAGAATGGCCAGTAGCTGCATCGGGAACCCACTCTTAAAAAGCGCTGCACTGGGTGTAATGCAGAGAGATACTGATCTACACACAATGTTCTTTCTGTGATGGCCCATCCAGATATCATTTGATATGGCTGCCATCATCAAGTATGCATGTCTGTGCAAGTCGGCCCTCGGAGCAACACATCCAGGCCCGCTAGCACACCCAGCCTATTCAAAAGAGAGAGGCCTTCACTGGAAAAGCAAACCAAGCACTGCTTGTGACACTGTAAAGCTTACAGTCTATGCTTCAAGGTGTCACATGCAAAAGGGTTCAGGTCAGTCTAAGTGAAAGTTCACAATCAGAAGCTACGGACCTTTCAAACACCGGTTTGGATTAGAGAAATAAAACTTAGGAGTTATGCTTGCATTGTTTTCAAGGATGCCTTATTTACTGGGCCGGAACAGGAAATGAGCAATATAAATACGGGAGACCTCTTCAGCTAGTTTAGCCTACAGCTCATGTTGTGTGTTCAGCAGGTGTGCATCCTGATGAGTTCAATGGGATGGAAATGTACAATCCTGGTCCAATGCAAAACATTGCAGACACTGAAGAAGATGTAGTTAATACTTAAACTGTACATTTAGCTGGAAATAAGCCACACTGAGCTCAAGGGAGATCTGCATTTGACCAAGCAAATGGGTTGCACATGCCATCGTAGCCTTAGCTTAGATAGTCCTCACCATCATCTAAAAGACTTTGCTAGATAAAGGGGGAAATTTACCTCTGCACCCCTAGAGAGGCTGGCTCCTCCAGGACAGGCTGGAGCGCATTACCAAAGCAGAATGTGGAAGCTCGCATTGCGGCTGCCTCTGCAATACCTGGCCAGAGGTGGTGCCTCTACTGTATCCTGGCCTGTGAATAGATAGAGGACCTCAGTTCACTGCACTGTAAATCCTTCAGAGTGACAATGCATTAACCTAATAAAGGGAAACAGCTTGTGTTGCTCAACTTACCTGTATAGCTGCACTTAAGACAAGGAATTCAAGCCCAGAAGGCGCACGTTCTGGGGGACCTGACTGATCAGGAACATGACTCTATGGCAGAGTACTGCACCACACAGATGGGCAGTGCGTAAATTTCCAGATGTTTTGGACCAACCCCCAGCATTCCTGACCAATGGCCATGCCAGCAAGAGGTTCTGGGAGCCGAGGTCCAAAGCATCTGGAGAGCTTTCATCTGCCATCCCTTATCTTACGAAACCCCAAAGAACACTAAGGAAAGATGGATACTGCTGACCAACGGCAACATTTCATACCTACCATTCTGGCTTGCAAAACCAGAAGCAAGCAAAGGTACTGTGTCTGTGCAAAATGAGATACTCACTCCCCAATTTTCTGAAGCTCGCCTCCCCTTCCAGTGTAAAGCGTAAGACATCCTTTCCACAGAGATGCATACCTAACCAAAAGAACACCAGTTGCGTTAGAAGCACTGGACAGGACTGGAAGGACAGGACGGGACTTCCCGTTTGACAGGAGAAAACTTAGGTCATCACAACCCAACAAAAAGTTAAATGTATCTACACCCCACTGCTTTCAATCAGCCAGTTCAGTATTTGATTTACTGAAATCAGTAGGCCTATAAACAGCTTAGTTTTTGATGGACTGTGCCAGATTTGGCTGGTAAATGAGACTTCTGATCATCCTTCAGCAGTAAGTTTTTAACACATTCACATTCCTGCATGTATTCCTACCATTTCTGAATCATCAGAGGTCACACACTTTTAACTACAGTCACCATCAACACAAATTGTCTTCTGGTTTGATTCTCTAGTACTCATTTTTCCTACCAGGACACCAAGAGATATAAAAATCGTGGTTTTCCTCATTCCAGAACACACTATAAATATTGTCTGTATTTTTAATCCTTCCTAACAGATTTGAAGAGGAAGCCAACATCTTATAATTTCTATCAGGTAAACGTATTTCCTTGTGGCATTGACGCACCTGTAATCCCCAGTGCAGATCCAATAAATTTCTGTCATCATGTATTCAAAACTTTTGTGTAACCACGAAAGCTAGTAAGTTAAAGACCAGTCCAGCAAAAATTATTCAAATGTAGCATTGAAATTAATGGGACTTTAGCAACAAGTTCCATTGATTCCAACTGTACTTAAGCATGACTAACTTTTTTCTAAAGTAGGACCATAAACTAGAAGCCTAGATTCCAGTTTTAAGAAGACACAACACGTTGTGCTCACTTGCCTTCTGCAGCCCACTGATCACCCTCTCCCCATTTCACCACATCTCTTGATTTGCCTTTCATTTCCTGTCATACGCACATACTCCCACACAATAGAAATCAGACACTAATGTTAACCAGAGACTTCAGAGACTGATTGGATGCAGAATCACACTGAAAAGGCTCCACTTATTACAAGACCAACAAAATAGGTCCTTTGAAATAATTATTCTTTGTAAGTACTGTGGGTTACATCCACTGCTAGTCCTCCTTAGAGCAGACCCATTAAAACGAATGGCACTCCAGTTAAGGAAAGACTGGACACAGCCTATTATCTATAAACAGTCTATTTTTTGCCTGCCACGAAAGAAAGCTTATTTTGCATTAAATACACATAAGCATCCTCCATGTTTCCATGTTGACCACTGAACAACAAGGTGCCCTTATTTTGTCCAGCTTAAACAAAGCTTAAGGGAAAAAACCCTGAATGATAAAGAAAATAATTTTTGGCTGGGTATTGTATTAGTAACTACTTTTTACAGAAAGGTTGCATTTCCAGCTCACTGCTCAGCTTGGCCCTGGAGGTTTATATTCTAATCAGCCAGATCTTTACTGATTTAACAAGAACCCATTCGTGCCCCTGAGCAAAACACCCTTAACAGGCATCTTAAGCCCTGCTACCGCTACACCACTAACATTTCCGCCCACACTGATGGCATGAGTGGTTCAGGTTTTGTCCAGGCCTGAACAAGCCGGCCATCAAGCCTGCTGCACCACTGGCAGCAACATACAAGTTCTGCTAATATGATGCAAGTGGAAAATGACCTTAACATGACACTTCTTGCCAGATTGTAACTTGAAGCGCTTACAAGTTATCCAAGTCGAAATCCTGTTACTTACGCGTGTGCAGAATGGTAAGCAATCCAAGAACCTCTAAGGTGACTGGATTTTACACTGAAACTACGTATTATATTCCTGCTGCACTGAGTGTCGGATTTGTACCAGAGACATCTTCCAAGTGACTCTTGATGGGTGCTTATCGGGCTTTCCTCCTTTTGTTTCCCTTGCAACGCCATAAGGTTGAAGAGGGGACATGATTTTGTCAGGGTCACCCAGTTAACTTCACAGGAACCCCCCAGTACCAAGTCACTGTCACCACTGAGCAGCCAGAGGTTCTCCCGGGCAGGACTCCTTCCCAGCCCCACCTGGAGATCAAGCTTGGGACTGTCTGTATGCAAAGCGTGTGCTTGGCCACTCAACTTCAGCTCTACCTAGCTGAGCTGAAGTGTGAAAACAAGTAAACCTAGCTCAGTGCTACTGCTCGTCTCTCCGCCAGCATTCCCCAATCTGGCCCCCTCCAGATGCATTGGACTACACCACCCATCATGTCCAGCCAGCACGGCAACAGCCATGCTAACTGGGATGAGGAGAGTTGCCACCCAACACAGTTGGAGGGGTCCAGATTGGGGAGAGTTGCACCATCCTATACCTTGCATGACTCTGCCCACTTTCACTATACTCCTTGATTCCAAGGAGAAAGTATTAGTCAGAAGGCTCGTTTAGGTTCCTCGACAGGCTTTCAGACAACTTGGGGAGCCTTCCATAACCATGTAAAAAAGGGAGTCGCTAAGGTCTCATGCTCAGCATAGGAGACCCTGGCACTGCTTCAGCAGTGACTCATACAGGGATCCCCTAACCTTGACCAGTCACACTCAGTGGCACAGCAGCAGAATGGCCAAAAAAGCAACTTGACAAAGCAATTTTGAGGAAACATTCCTACTGGTTGAGCAATTATGTGCAAAGGCAAATAAAGTGGGTCCAATCCAGGTGTTTTTTTTTTTTTTTTTTTTTTTTTTTTGCCCAGGGAAAGCTTGTGGGCCTCCCCTTCCCTTGCTGAAAATACATTTTGTGTTAAGCTGTAGCATCACCAAAATGATGTTTTTGTTCAGAGAAAAATGGTCTGTATGGTTTAGCAGCCAAGTTTTGCTGTCAAGGATGGCACTGCTAAATGTCCACCACTACAGAATTCTGAACAATCACATACCCAGCATTTTACAGGACTTTGAACAGTCAAAGCACTTCTTATCTCTTAGTTCTACCACAGACAAGGGCTCGACTGCCAATGGTGACTTGCTTAAAGTCACCCAGGCAGTTCATAGGTGGTACAACATTTGGATCAGAGGCAAAATCCATATTTTGCTTTTTCACACACAAGAGACAGGCATTTTCCACACAAAAAATGAAAATAAAATGTAACAGCAGTGCTATTAGGGTGCAATCTTCTGAAAGACTGGACAGAAAAAGCTATGCTGCCTGGGGCATGCTGGGAGTTGTAGGCCTTTTTTCTGTCTAGGCTTGCAGATGATTCCTCCCTTAATCACCAGAAATAATTAATGGAGCATTTAATGTGAATATAGCAAATATAGTTTAAGCTGTTGCTTCTAACCAAGTTTTGAAAATGATCTAAGGATGGCCATCTCTTTGACCAGCATGTGCTGCTCTTGACCGCATTTACTACATGAAAACACAACACATTTGTAATAAACTATGAAGCTTTTACTACTAATTGCTAGTTCTGCTTCTCTGCCCCCTAAAGCCAGCTGCCCTGGAAGGCAGCAGGCTGATGGAAGAAACAGAAATAGCCATCCCCCACAGAAAAACGTGTTAAAAACAAAACACCTTACATTGGACCCTCAATTCCCTAATGTATCATATTTCAAAAAAGTATACAGTGTGCAGGAGGGATTGGATGGTTACACTTTGCGTAAGAAGTACCCAGGTGCTGCTCTGACAATCCCGAAGGGACACGTTCCAGGGAATTCAGCTCTTCAGTTCCAACTCTGCTGGAAAAGTACAAAATGGACTGGGTGCACTGAGCCTTTCTGCTCTATTAAGCAAGCATGGATTGGGCTGTGGCATAAGCTGCTATGGGCAGTATCCAAAACGGGCAGTTCAGCAGCGCTTGTGTGGCTACACTAGCAAGAATGGCCACCAGCACCACAGGAAGCTGGCGCTGCCTGAAGCACTCCTGGAAACGTGCCAACATCTGCTGAACGGAGCAGGTCAGCAGAACTTCCTTCTGGGAGCTCCACCAACTCGTACACCGCAGAAATGATTGTCTCAACTAGCTTCAGGTCACTTCAGTTGTGATTCCTGCCAGCATAAAGCCAAGCTGGAATCCTGTCCTATACTCAGGCCAAAAAAAGGTGCATGAAAAAACAGTGGCCTGCAGTTGTATGCGTCATACAGGGCACCCTGTTTGGAAGCAGCCGTGCTCAGGGCCATGTGAGAAGTTACAACAGCAGATCATGTGAATCAGTTGGACTGGCACCAAAACACACACACGGGGACCGAGCCGTCCCCTGCTTCCACCCCATGCGACAGCTTTGCTCAAGCCCTTCTTCTCCTAGTAGGGATCCAAAATAACCTCTGCTAGAAAAAAAAGGGGAGGAAGAAAAAATGGGCATAGGGAAGGGCCCGACCCCTCCTCCTGCTCACAAGTCCTCTCCTTCTTATACGAACTCAATGTGAGCTACGCGTGAGTCACTCCAAGCAATGTTTAGTCTGGCCTTTGCTACAGTGAGGGGGACCACCTTCGCCTTCCCAAAATGGCCCACAGGCTACCCCAGCCTTCCCCAACTCACTGCCCTCCAACAGGTTTGGACTACAATTCCAATCATGCCTGCCCTTTAGTCATGCTGGCTGGGGCAGTTGGGAGCTAAAGTCTAAAATATCTGAACCGCAGCAGGTCAGGGAACTCTGATCTACCCTGTGTTTTTTTAAAAAAAAAATTCCCAAAACAAAACCAAAAGCAGAACAGAACATTCCAGGAATGGGGGCGGCTCATCGCTTCCTTTCAGAAAAAGGCAGCAGCTTTTAAAGAGGTGAGTCACTGACAGCCATGGCTGTTGAGTAAGACTGAGCATGGAGCCAGACAGAGAGGCAGCTGACCCACCTGTTCCAAGCTGGGCCTTCCTCAGTTCCGTACTAATGGCAGAGAGAATGAACATGTGTGTGTGGTGCACCTAGACATACACACTCATGTGTGCTGTCTACATGAGTGGGTGAGAGAAAGAAAAAGAGAGAATGGGAGTGGCGCTAAACCCCTTCCTGTACCTGTTACTTACCCTTCCAAGTGCACCTCTCCCAAGCTGGCTCCCTACTCCGCAGAGGAGATTCTGCAGAGAGCAAGCTGAGAGAGCAAAGCAGGTGCGTGAAAAGTAGCTCCAGCTTCCCCAGCCAATGGCCATGCTGGCTGCGAACTTGCTGGACCACAGCTCCCACCGTTCTTGGCTGACATGACCACGTGTTGACCGGAGCTGTAGTCCAGCACATGAAGCACCTGGCTGAGGAAGGCTCAGGGAGCTTATCAAGAAGACGAAACCGAAATTGCCCCACGTGCCCTGGCTGCCTGAACATATTAGGTTCCAGGAAAGACTGTGGCTCAGAGGCTTGGGCAATCGCACTGCATGCATAAAGTCCCGAGTTCAATCCCAGGCCACCGTAGTTCAAAGGACTGGGGTGCGGGTGACGGGAACAATATGAAAATAAAGAAAGCTACTCCAGGCTAGACAGACACACAGTCCGAGCTGGAATACAGCCTCTTCCTAGGCATGTTTAAAAAAGGAACAGGCCTGCCCCCACCACCTGCAATTTGGCCCTGTGAGGCCTTGCATGAGGATTTCCGGTTTCCTTCACCAGCTCTGCCTACACTAACCACTATTATGGAGGGGAGGGGGAGGGGGAGGGGTGATTCAGAGAAACCCTCCTCACAAGGGAAAGAGGAACAAGTTGCTTCAGCGGCCAACAAAGTGGCCCAGCTGTGCTTGGCCTTCTGTCATCCTAACCCCTCACCCCAACCCATGACATACCCTTTGGTCAAGCGAATAATGTCACCAGGCTGGATGAGACTGCCAAGTTCATCCCAGACGGAGATGGTGATGCTGCCGGTCTTGTCGGCCACTTTGCATGACCTCACCTCGTGCCCGTCTTTGGTTTTGGTGACTCGCCCTGGAGGGAAAGAGAGAGAAAAGGGAGGGAAGTGCGGGGAGGGGGGAGAGAACAAACCTCCTGAGGTCGCTGGACAACATCATGTGCTTGAGCATAACCCGGCCCAGGAAGAACTAACAGAAGCAGGAGCAGGGACAGACAGCAAAGGCCATCTGCAAAACTTACAGTGAAATACACATCTATGTTCGGGGAAGAATCCATTCTAGAGTTCCCAGAAGGGGGTTATTTAAGGGCAGAGCTGCAAGAGAAGGTGGAGCAGGACAGGGGAGTCCCAACTCTTTCCCTGAAAAGTGACCACGTGTCAGAAACACGCGTAGCGCTTGAGCCGAGTGGAGGGGGGGGAGGTAAGGGAGGCTAGGGCAAAGCAGGGGCTGGGGAGTATTCAAGAGAGGAAAGAAACAAATGCGATGGCTCCAAGGGACCCCACTTACCGATCTCCAGCACAATAAAGACGACATTTAAATTTTTCAGTCCGGGCTTTATGTCTTTTATGAAGAGGTATGTTTCGTTTGCCATGCTCATGCTGCTTGCTCAGGAGGAAGACACGGGCACTGCTGGGGCAGACTGAGCAGGACAAAGCATCCCTTCGCACAGAGGGACACTTGGCAAAGCGTGGGGAAGGGGAGACCGAATTCCCCAGTTCTCCGACAGACTAATAACAACTACGTGTGTACTCTTAAGAAGATGGGGCGGAGGGGCAGTTTTTCAGCCGCCAAGGAGGCGCACACACGGCGATTCTCTTTGCCTACCACTCACGCGCACTTTCTCCCCAGTTCTCCGCCCTCGCGGAGGAGGAAAGCTGAACACAGAACTTTGTAACGCTGGATGGGCGAAGAAGGGGGAAGCCTGGGTGCTGTGCTTGAAACAGGCACGGAGTTTGGCCGGCTCTGGCTGCTGCCGCCCCTACTGGTCAAAATGGAAAAGCACCTTCTAGTTCCGTTTTCCTCCCTTCTACTGAGCTCCAAGAAAAATTTAGAGCGCTCGCTCGCTTTCTTGTTATTTTATAATTAGTAAGGTGCTGCTTTCATCCTCCTTCTCCTACTCGGTAGCGAGACTTCCCACCCCACCAAAAAATCCTAGGCGTACTACTTTCATACAAGCGCGCGAACACATAGACTCTCCCTTCTGCACGCTCCCCTCTGTCTAAAGCAAACATGTGCTGTGTGCTGTCGTTTTATAGTCCTTTGGACTAGTCCATTTGCTCTGCATGGGGGGTAAAAAAATAAATTATATCGAAAGGTGCAGCGAAAGAGGAAGGGAAACTGCTGACGCGCACAGAGGATCGAGCTGACTGCTACCACGCCTACTCAATTTTATCTCGCTTGGTTCTGATGCTCTGATCGACACTGGCGATCATACAAAACGGTGGTGAAAGACCCGAGCGAAATGGAACCGCCCATGGAACGCGGAGACTCCGGAATGGAACTGTATATGACAAAAGTTCCCGGCGAGAGAAGCTGATTGGTCGACTAAGATTCTTTTGTCCTCTGACCTAGAATATTTACGCTCGCTCGCCGCTGCGCCCGTCCTTTTTCCCTGGCTAGCGATCGGAGGCAGGTTCAAGCCTGTCTTGCCAGAGGACAATATGCAAACTCATCTTCCTAAGCTCCGCGGAAACAGAGCCACAGCATGGCGGACTGTGTCTTTTAACGCGCTGAGGGTTCCCCATCCCCCATCGCGAGGAAGATGCCGCTTCGATTATTCCCACCCCGTTTTTCAAAGGAGGGGGGCACCTCGGAAATAAAAGCAGCGATCAAAAATGTCCGCAGCGAGGTTTAGCCGCCGTGCTTCGACCGTAAATATATTTGCTTGTGCAAACTATATATGGATATGTTTGAAGGCAGAGTACGCAGAGAATTAAATCGTGTCCTATAATCTAAGGCAAGGAGAATGACTGAGCGCTTGAGTGATTGGTAACCATAAACATGGCAGCCTCGCTCGATCTGTTAAGAGGTTCTTGCCTGGTATCAGCACAGCTTTTCTCTTTCCTAATTTTCGAAAGCCAAGCCACATAATACGCGATGTTGCCAAGCCCAGTCCTGCGCTTGTTTACTCCTTTGTAAGTGTTGCTATAGCCTACATTCAAAGCCCGCTTTCAAGGAGGTGTCCATAATCTTGCGGTTTTAGTTTAGTGGATCACTTCTCGGGAAACACAGGCAAAAATTTGAATTTGATCATATATGCAACTTATGTCATTTACAGCATATAAAAATGTATAACTTGAGAAGGCAAGGGTGTTTCCAGAGAAAGCATAGGAACATTGTCTTATGCTGAGTCTAGCCCAGTGCTATGGACACTGACTAGCAGCAGCTTTCCAGGATTCTTTCTTAGGTCTGTCTGGAGAAGCCAGGGGTTGAATCTGCATGTAGAACAGATGGCTCCACTACTAAGCTGTGACCCCTTCTCCCAAAAAACACAGGAAGCAGCTGCATAATGAGTCAGATCATGGGTCCATCTACCTAGCAGTGTCAACACTGACTGGCAGCAGCAGCTTTTCAGGGTTTCCGGTGGTTGAAATCTAGCACCTTCTGCATGAGAAGAACATGCTCTTCCACCAAGCTGAAGCCCTCATGCAATCAGCCTGACAACTCTGTATCCCACTTCCGCTCTTTGTTTTTACACAGCTACTTTTGCCTTGCCACAAACCCTAAACACAGGCTTTTAAGGAGGAAAAGATGGCACAGCTTGCTCATCTATATCACAAGAAAGAAGGCATCTGCCCCTTCTGTAATTCAAGCACTGGAGCAAACTGCAGTCACTTCTGAAGAAGGCAGATCAGCCATGATTACATGTCTCAGTCGTGGAAGTGTGATTACTGCAACATGCTGTGCGTAGGGTTGTCTTTGAAACATGTTCAGAAACTTCACCAGAGTAAAAAATGCATTAGCTACCATTCTGACCCATTCATGATGATGATTCACTTCACTTGCTTTTAATTGCTGCATTCCTATCCCTCTTTCTCTCCCTGTTTGCTTAATTTGCTTGCTTAATTTGCTTTTTAGTATGATAAGAAATTTAGATGCCCAACTTAACTGCTGATTTCAGCACAATTTGCACAGTTGGAAATTCCAGCGCAGTCCTTGACACGTAAGTGCCGCTGAGTTCCATGAGACTTACTTCCTGGTGAAAATTGTATTCTTGGTGTTTATCAAGTGATTTGCCAGTATGTGGCATCAGTTTGTAATCTCAGTACATTTAGCCCATGGCAGATCACCAGTGTCTCCCACACTGCACTGGTGCAAACTCACTTCTACTTATCTTGGTTCCATCCGTCCTCACTCCTATTGCATAGAAACTCTCAGTGCTATTGGACCCCAGGTTACCGTCCATGCTGCTCTGTCCCCTCCATCTCTATGCTTCTCATGTTCCCCATCCTCTGAGCCACATGATGATACAATGTTTATTTCCTAAGGGACCACACAGGCCAGGGCAGCCCCATCATCTGGATGGCGCAGAGTTCTGTCTGGAGCTGCCACAGGGCACAGCAAGATGTCTGGTAGCCCAACTTACTGGCAGCCCCATGTGATGGGGATAGGATAGGCCAGCTCTCACATTTGATGTGATCTTTTGGGCAAGGAGAACTATTATTGAGGATGTGGGCAACACTATTTTTTCTTCTGGTACAGAGATACTTAGTCTGAGTGATTCTGTATCTTGTGCCGCATAATATCAACATGGCTTCAGACAACCATGAGGTGCTGTTAAAAAACTGCAAGGAAGCTTCACTGAAGAAAAGGGACACTTGGGCCGGTTCCACCTGGGCTGTGGAACCTCTTAGGAGGAAAACAAAAGAAAAATAGGGTGTGGTGTAAAAGAAAGGATACAGGTAACATGAAGGAGCCGGTAAGCCACAAAAGGTGGTTTTGATCAAAATGACTTGTCATGCTAATCTCAAAGCCATCCTTTCACTTTTAAGATTCTCAGTATGATCTGGACCTCAGTAGATATATAAACTCTACTGTGAGATCACCTTCACATCAGCCTGGAGGCTTTTTCTGGAAACAGTCCAGGAAACAGTGGCTTAGGTGTAGTGTTTATGCCCTGTGAATTCTAATCCTATGGCCCCCTATACCTATTACAAAGAAACCCACACAATTGGGTAAGGGTCATAGTTCACTTGGGACTAAGCAGGGCAAATGCCCCAATTCAATGCCTGGCATTTACAGTCAAAACCACCATAGGGGGTGAAGCTGGGAAAGACATTGCAGGGTGGAGCATCATGACAGATGGGGCAATGGCCTGATTCAGTTCCAGCCATCTATATATGCTTCTCAGGAACAGTCCACCCCAAAGTATTTATGTAAATCCTAGGGTGGTTTTCCATGTGTGGTAGTCCTTGTACAAGCTGTACGCAATATGAACCCATGCAGCTGACAAGCTCAGGGGAGAAGGGCTAGTGCCTCGCCAAAGACCACCTCATCCATTCATATCTGAAGTGAAATTTGAATTGAGGAATCCCCAAGTCCCAGTCTTCAGTCTCTGCCGGACAGCAGTTCCTTGTTTGGGTTGTTCTGTGGGCAAGCTGCTGCAATACCCTTATGTGAGCCCTGCCATCCCGTGGGTCCCTCCCACCCCCTGCTTCTGCTCTTATGCCGCTGCTGCTGCTGCTGCTACACACACCCACCTGCCTGACTGGCCATTCGGTATGAGCCAGCCGGGGCAGCTGAAAGGTGCTTCTTTGGAATCCACTATCATGCAATGGTATTTCTTGCCATTATAATGTATCCAGATGCACACACCTGTAGCTTCTTCAGCTGGTACCCAGAGATAAACTGTATGGAAAAGACGTGGGCATAAGGCAACAAGTAAATGGAGAAAAGGGAAAAGGTCAAATGGGAAATAAGTCAAAAAGAAAAAAGGCCACATTCATTCTGCCTTTTTCATGATGCTAACAATTGCCAATTACAAACAGTTTAGATGACATCCAGGATACCACGTTACGCAGGGGGGCTCCAATTGCTGGACATGGACAGAGGTATCGTCTCCATGAACACGAGGGGCATTTTTCTCTTTCAGAGTCAACAATAGGGGAGCTCTGCATGAACTTGCACAGCTGCTTTGCTGAGTCATATATCAATAGGTGGCCATAAATTCCATGGAGACCAGGGGAACCTTCTTCCCTTAAGGGTCTTTTGCACAGGGCAGGGCAGGGGAACCCATTGATCATGTCACTGGGGCTGACTCAGGGTTTATCTAGTTACCCAGAGAAAGTATGATACAAACTCCAGCAGGAGAGAGCAGTTGCCTTCTTGCCTGCTTGAGTGAGGCCTCCTCAAATGCATTTCAGCTATTGGGGGTAGCAGAACATTGCACTACATGGACCCCTTTGGGTTTCATTTAGCAGGACTCTTTTGGTGTTCCTATGTGAAAAGTTAGCTTGGTTTTATTTTAGTGCAAGGTTGCTCAGCACTCTTACTGGAGAAGAGTGTTTAAAATTGGCATTTAAATCAGTTATCTCAAACAGGTCTGGTGTCTTACTGAAATTGGTTGTAGCTGTTTAAGGGCACATCCTTGAGGCAGGGAGGCAGAGGGTCCCAGTGCTGAGGTCCTGCAGCTGCAGTGCTGGGACTCCAAAGTCCAAGCCCAGCTCCACTCCCATTGGCCTCCTCTCCAAGGTCACAAATTGGCCTCAGAGAGAAGGAAAAGCGACACGTATTATCTGTGGTTTGTGATTTTTGCTCATTGGCATGAACTGGCCAGTGAGCTTGGGCTATTGATTGCATTGGCATTGAACAAATAAATAAAAATAATAGTAATAATTCTACTAATGTTCCTTCCCTCCTGAGCTTGGGAAGTATTCTGAAATCCTCTAAGCTTCATACTCATTTCCCGAATACTGAGTATTACTCAAGGGGCAGCACCTGTGTGACCAAGTCCTGAAAAGCCTCCACCGCTTTCCCCCAGCCTGAGGCCTTCCAAATTTTTTTCATTGCAACTGCCCTCATCCCTGACCACTTTGCTGGCTGCAGCTGATAGAAGCTGTAGTCCAAAGCATCTGATGGAGGAAGCCTGACTTGCTTACATAGAATTCTACCTGCATCGGCTTTCCTGCTGCAGATTTCCGTGCTCTCTGCATGCACGGGTGGAGCTGAGAGCAGCCTTACAGCCTCACGTCTCCTGTATTGTGTGGAGCCCTTTCTTGCCATGAATGCCCGAAAGGGGAACGAGGGTCAGTGGTCTACCAAGAGTAACCCTGCACCTGCCATTCCCATGTAAATGCATAGACTATATACATAATGCATCCAAAATAGCACACGTCTTTTGTGCTAATAATTGCACTGTGTCTACCTCAGTACTGAACAGTCTTAGGGTTTAAATCCCTGTCTGGAGTGAAGTCTTTTTATGGGTTTGTAAACCACTTTTAGCAATGTTTAGAGATTTTTGGTGGTTGAGCAAAATTGAGTAGCAATACATCAAATCATTCCGAATTATGCTATGCTCATTCAGGTCTAGAAAGTACCAGAGAAGAGATGATGATTTTGCACAAAAAATCACAATCTTAAAACCACAAATATTATTTAAACCATGGGATGACCGCATTAGTGCTCAAAATGTACTACATATTCTTTATGAGAAATTGACATGGAATTAGAGCAAACCCTTCTTTGGGGAAGGGTCTACCACTTCTTTCTTAGAAAGCACTTAAAATTTCTTTGAAATCCATGATTAATTGTAATGAATATTTTTAAGTTTACGTAGCATGATTTTCTAAAGCCTAAATCAGCTGAGCTCCACCCCAGCCGGTGGCTAGATGTTCATTACTGGGCAGAATCCAGTTGTTAAACCATAACAGACTGGCAGTGCAATCCTACATGAGTTCAATGGGGCTTCCAAGCACAGGATTGCTGCCTGAAGGAAACATCCAATGAAAACATCCTTCATCAAAAGAATCAAATGATTTCCTATTGTGACATTTCCAAACAGGATGAGTTAAAATTCTACTTTTCCCTGTCAAAAGGTCTGCCCCTGAGGTCCTTTGGAGATCACTTACAGGATTTTCAATGTTGTCAGGGTTATTTTATTGCTGAGAACAAACCATCTGCCATTATAATATCCATAAGATAAACTGAGATGTTAATAGATAGATAATAACGTAAAATATCTCAAATCCTTCATCTTCCTTTCAAACTCATGCCCTATTTATATAATCTAGACAATTTTGTACCTCCTAGAATACTGCATTCTTGGCACAAATTAGTTCCATTCAGAAATTTTGTGCCTCAAAATGTTCCGAGGCAAAAACAAAATTCCAGAGGAACTTCAGACACTCTGAGAGCTCAGTAGAAGAACCATAAGGCTTCAAGGAATACAAAGACTCATTCTCACTGTGGTGGGCACACTGTGCCTGCACGGTCTTCCTTCAGATACCAGTGGAAGATCCACAAGATGGAACACGTGCGCACACCTGTCCTCCACACAGAGAAACTAGCATGTGAGGGAGACGTCCAGACTTATAAGCGGGATGCAGTGTGTTGGTCTAGCCAGTGAACTTCCTTGCTCTGGTCACAGAGGGGCCAGTTGCCTGATTATGCACAGGGAGCTGTATCCCGTGACACTCCTCGCACTTCACAATACCTGTGTGAGTAGTGATGACTTCGAAGCCCACTCCTCAGTGGGCATGTGGGGATTAAAGGTCTAGAGATGTCAATCACAATGGGTTAAAGCAGTGAGTCCCAGAAACAAACCCAAAGGCCTTTGTCAGCCATACCAGGTCATCATGTCAAGGGGTTCCAAAGGAGACAAATTTCTGAATGACCTGGGTTACAAACTGGGCCAAACCCTGGGAGAAGGCAGCTATTCCAAGGTGCGAGTAGCCACCTCAGCCAAGTACAAGGGGCCGCTAGCAATCAAGATGGTGGACCGGCGTCGAGCACCCCGGGATTTTGTAGAGAAATTCCTGCCACGGGAGCTCTCCATCTTGCGAGGGATTCGGCACCCACACATTGTAAGAGTCTATGAGTTCATTGAAGTCTGCAATGGGACGCTCTACATTGTGATGGAAGCAGCCTCCACAGACCTGCTGCAGATGGTCCAGCAAGTGGGGAAGCTGCCCTGCATCCCTGAAGCACGGGACATCTTTGCCCAGGTCGTGGCCGCCGTGCGCTACCTCCACGACAGACACTTGGTTCACCGGGACCTCAAGTGTGAGAACGTGTTGCTCACCTCAGACGGCCACCGGGCAAAGCTGACTGACTTTGGCTTTGGCAGGGAGTCACGTGGGTACCCAGAACTGAGTACCACATACTGTGGGTCAGCTGCCTATGCCTCCCCAGAGGTGCTGATGGGGATCCCCTACGACCCCAAAAAGTATGATGTATGGAGCTTGGGTGTAATGCTCTATGTGATGATCACCGGCTGCATGCCCTTCGATGACACCCACATCCAGAACATGCCCTGCCGCCAGAAGAAAGGGGTCGTCTTCCCAGAGGATCTGCCCTCTTTGTCTGAGCCCTGCAAAGCTCTGATTACCCAGCTGCTCCAGTTCAGTCCAGAATCCCGACCCTGTGTGGGGCTAGTATCCAAGAATAGCTGGCTGAAGAGGGAAACATAACTGAGCTAGCCTTCCCTCTTGTGATGTTACTACCAGATGCTGGTGGTACTTCATGGAGGACAGGGGACTGTATTACGAGAACCATGGAAATGTATCGTTGCTGAAAAGAAGTTTCTGGGATGTTGTAAGTGGGCAAAGCATTTTAGGGGATGAGAGTTCCACTGCAGTTAAGGGACTTGCTTCCAAACAAATGTATTTTGGGTTTGGGGTGCCAATGAGATCTTTCAAACCCTCTTTCTTGTGTCAGGTGTCCTCTTTATGGCTCTATTTCTCATTTGTTTGAAGGAAAGGCAGTTCTGGACAGGTATGGAAAGCTCTAATGCAAGGGTAGAGGGGGTGGAGGGGGGAAGACTGCTGCCAAGTTAGGCAGAGCATCCTACATTAAGAAAAATGTGGCCCTAAAAACCCTGCAAGATTTTGCAGACTCCAGTTTATGCAGAAGGTTTGTCACACTGAAAGCAGCTCAAGGAGCTAGACTTGCACACAGCCTCTGATATGCGGCCCCATGTTCAGCCCTAGGGATCAGGTTTTGCACAAGGAAGCAAAATGCTTAAACGAACCAGTTTGATCATATTTAACCTACAACATTAGATTAAAAGTAAAACTTGCCCGCATGTGCTAAAATCTTAGGATTCATGCACTCTTAAACTGGTTGCCTTATTTGAAATGTGTTTGCTGTGTCAGAAAAAGCAGTGAGGTGCATGAACTTCCTTCCCCTTTCCAGCATGCAGCCTGGCAAGAAACAAAAGCTCATCAGAAAAGGCCTTAGGTAAGGTCTATGATCTGGGCTCTTCATTTCTGCATTCTGAAGCGTGCAGCTGACAGGATCACAATTCCACCAAAGCACAAGACAAGCCTCCCTAACCTCACAATCTTATAAAGATGTACCTTTCCCAATTTCAGTTCATTACAAGTGTATTTCTGTTGTATGTATGTGCAAAAGGGAAAACAGGCAAGGAAGGATTGTTTGTTTTCTCACAGTCAGTCAGTCTGTCTTTCGAATGATTCATTTCATTTTGATTCTAAACTATGTATTCGTTTAACATATAACCCTAACAACAGTACATAAATACAGTTTGTCTTTCACTGTCAGATACAGGAGACTATGAGATGAGAGATATAATTGTAAACTAAGAATCATTTTTATTTTGCTATCAGTAATGATCCTATTTCACTTTTGAGACTGCTTGGCTGTTTTTCCTTTCCAGAAATAGGACAGTATTGGGTGGGTGCTGGTCTGGGGAGACTATTAAAGCATTTATTGTGTGCTTGTCATTTCCTAGCCATAACTGTTTGTGAGCTCTTTAAAGGACATAATGACCTCCCAGATTTACTTCTGTTTTTAAACAGTTCAAAAAGATTTTTTTTAAGAGGAAGGGAAAAAATATTGATATTTAAGGAAAGTGAAAAAAATACTATTTCCACTTATGTAATTGTGGTGTTCCTCTATACCACTATGCCATCTAGATTAATGTAGTAGAAAATCAGGAAAGAAATTGTATGAGCCGGTGTGGTGTAACTGTTAAATGCATGTGGAATTCGGGCTCAGGAGTCCTGGGTTCTAGTCCTTATTCATGGAGCTCACTGGAGTGACTCTGGGCTAGTCACAGACTTTCAGCCCAACCTACCTCACAGGGCTGTTGTTGAGAAGCGGAGGAAAATAATGTAAGCCACCTTGAGTTCCTTGGAAGGAAGAATGGCAGAATATAGTAAATAATTAAAATAAATAAATTAGATATAGTGCTGTGATCTCATTGTGCAACAAAACTGAGAGTAGATACAGCAGATTAAAAGCCTACACAAGGCTTTTAATCTGCTGTATTAACAAAAATCTGTATTAACAAAAATCATAAAGGGAAGCCATGTTTGTGTGAAACTGGCCTTTTAAATTGTTTCTTTGATTAATCTCAGATTCTCTGATTATACTTTGCCAACCTTTCAGCTAAATGCCATCTCCAAATTTTGGAAAACCATCCACTACATATCTCTGATTTCTTTTCTAATACAATGCTATTTCTATTATCGCCACTGCTTAATAGCAACAAAATTACTTCCTTACTAACAATTTATGTGTGTCATCAAAAATAGATTAAAGGGCTGACAATGATACATTGTGTATTTTTTGTTGAATTATCAGTGATATGTAGTCAAAGACAGAAGTACAAAATACTTGAATATATTCATGTGTCCACCAAATGTTGAACCAAGTCCCTCCAATTTGGCAACCCCTCCAACAGTGTGGCAAAGGATATGTATTGTTGTGATCTAATTCAACTGGTCCTAAATGCCACCTGTGTCCAAGTGAGTTTCTTGAATTGTAGCAGAAATTAATTGGAGAGGCTTCTTTCTCCAAATAATATTGCACCATATTTCTCCAATCCAAATCTCAGTAGTGTCTTAATTATTTGTTTGATTTATATCCTGCCTTTTTCCTACAAAGGGCTCAAGGCAGCTTACATCATTCTCCTCCTCCATCTTATCCCCACAACAACAACCCTGTGAAGTGGGTTGGACTGAGAGTCTGTGACTGGCCCAAAGTCACCCAGTTGGCTCCATGGCTGAGCGGGGACTAGAACCCAGATCGTCTGAGTCCCAGTCCCATGCTCTTAACCACTACACCACACTGGCTCTCAGTGTACCTCTTCCTGTACCATTCCCTGTATTTTAAATCCCACTGATTTTTTAAGTCTTTCCATTGCAAGGAGGTGTCAATGGAAACCCTATATTAACACTGTTATGCGGAAATAGTACTGGCACTGGGTTATAGCAACCACGCATGTAGCACGTCGGCTGAAATCCTACGTTGTTGCCAGTATGAAAAGTCTCTTGACAAAGAAATGTAGTCTTGGAGGCTTTCTTCATATTTATTTCTTCTTCCTGCTCTCCATCTTTTCCTCAGAACAACCCTGTGAGCTGCATTAGCTAAGAGTCAGTAACTAATCAGTGTCATCCAACATTAGTGTGCTTTTGGCCAAAACGGGCTTGCATAGCGTTTGCACAGTTATGGAATAAAACAGTTCCTCCCTATAGGCGTACAATCTAAAACTATCACCCACACAAGAGGAAAGGATATTGGGGCAGAAGTGTGGGGGCGGGGGAAGCAAATGTGGGCGCTTGATTCTTAGCTGCATAGTGCAGCAGGTCACAGACCTTAATACAGTGGAAAGGTTTCTGCTCTGAACTGCCTTCTGTTGGAACGGGGTAGCAAAAAAGGGGGGTATGAGCAGTTAATTGGAGTAATTTAAAGAGAATCTCCTTTTTTGAAAGAAGTCTTTCTGCGGTGGCATTTTGCCCCATATTGGGATAAAGAGCATTAAACTCAGCGAGGCAAGCTACAAATTTGTGTTTGCACATAATTATTGTGCAACCATTTTGGGTGCTGTTGGGAAAATTCAGATAAATCCTGGCAGAAAAGGGTTGCTTATATGCCTTTGTGTTATAAAAATGCCTGCACCCCTTTCTCAGAAAGCACCCAAAATTCCAGGCCAGGTTACTGTTTAGCATTTTCTGTTACTTTAAGAAGTGGGACCTGATGGCTTCCCCAAGAAGCAGCCAGGGCTATTGTTTTTGCTGATCAGTTAGGGTTGATGAGGCAGCCAGGTTAACAGCACTGCAATCACTCTCATTTGCATGCCAAGACCCACAATAATCCCTGTGTCTCAGTGATCATTATGTTAATCTCCTGCAATCAAATGCCACTGTACTGAGCCCCCTCTGCAGACCTCTTACCTTCTTCTGACTGTGTTCCCCTTATTTCATCACCAAAAGCCCAGCTGCTGGGCCCATGTGACCCAGAATCTATAAAACACTCTGTGTATGTTCTAAAAGCTTGTAGTTGGCGGTGGAGACCACTACGCGGCAGCATGCTGTTGTAAGTAACCGCAGGGGGCCTGGGTGATCTCACCAATAAAAATGCTGGGGTTCAAGGCGAATCAGTCTTCCCTGTGGGTTCTGGTATTCATTCTTGCCATTAGTAAAGAGACTCTGACAGTGCCTATCCTGGAAAAATGGGCTATAAATGCCAATAAATATATCAGTAAATATATCCAAGGCTGTAATCCTTGACAGAAATCCCCACTGAACACAGAGGAACGTAGTTTTGAGGACTTCAGCAGGTGAGCCCAACCTTCAAGTCTGGCCACAAGTAAATCTCAGATACATGCATGATATTGTTAAGGAACTAACTTCAGGGTGGCCACTGATGAATCACCAGAAAAGAGAATGCCACACCACAGAAGAAGACACAGATTTGCATAGAACTTGCACATGCCCATTTCTATGGACAAATGTGAGTGTAGGAACAGTTATTATACTTTAAACAGAGATGCAATCCATCACAACACTGCATGGACACCTGTGGACAGGTGAGTGCCTTGCTCAGTCCACTGTCCAGGTGCTGTTGAAGGACAAGTTCAACCCTTCGTTGTCTGGCACTGTCCCCTGGCACCCTTTCAAGCAGAGGACTCTCCACTGTGAAGGTGGCCACCCTCAGTTAGCCTCTAGTGACAGTGGTCCTCCAGAATTTCAGGCAAGGGTTCCCTAAGTTAGCCTGTAGTGACTGAGCCCGAGGCTTTTTGCACACAAAGCATGTGCTGTTCTGCTGTGTTACAGCCCTTCCCCAGATAAATACATGTATGGCTCATAGCACTGCTTCCTGAATTTCATTCTTGCTGCATGTCACTGCATCCAGCAGAAGGGCAATGGAGTTGGGGACAACAGTGGGGTATACAGTGTCTCTTAGCACCACATGCCTCACTCGGGGGGGGGGGCCCTTCCTCAGAGTGAGGCATTGTGGGTGAGGGCATTTCCCTCAGAGTGGATAATCATGGCCTGGCAGGCTCTCTTTCCTGCTGCAGTGTTGCCTCATGGGAAGTGGCAGTGCAGCTCCTTAGAAGGCCTGCCGGCTCACCTGATGCCTTGCTCCGAAAGCTCCTCAGAGCGAGGCAATGGGTAATGTCAGAATCCCAGAATCTCAGTTTGAGAAGAGGGAATAAAACTCG